AAAACATTAAAACTAGATTAAATACACTTTTATATGGTATTCCTGCTTTTTTAATAGGGATAATAGTTTATCTTCTTGCAAACAGAAATAAAAAAGAAATCAAATAAAGTCTTAATACATATAGTGAAACTAAAAAAGCATTTCTGTTTTTTATTAGGTACAAATATCCAAAATAAATATTGAGCAATGAAAAGTGTGTGTTGAATGAAAATGATTTTGATGGAAGCATAAATAAATACGTATACGTATCCTATTTGTTGCTGGCAATTAAAAGAACATTTACGATTTTTTTTTCAGAAAAAAGGGATATACAGGTATACAAAGTAAAAGAAATGTAAAAAAACAAAAAAATATGCAAAGTGCATTGGTTACGATGCTATTAACACTTCAGACTTCAGACTTTGTGGCGCGATGAGACTTTGTGGTTTTTGATGCAGCTTTCCACTGCTTTTCCGACATATCCCTGTCTCTTTTCATATCTCTCAATTTCACCGCTTGTGCGAAAAGGTGTTTGGACCAAAGTTTTCGTCGACATCTTAATTTCTCACTTGTAAATTGAGCTGCGCCAGCAACCGCAAATTAGACCCCAAAGTATACGTACTTGTGGATGCCAAATATTCCCCTGCGGTTCTCCCCCAGCCCCACTTTCTCCGCCCCCTTCTCTACCCACACTCAAGCACGCATTGCCACACACACACACATACTTTCATGCGTTAAGCCAACACAGGAACACACAGGAGACGAAGGAGAAAGGTGAAAGTCAAGGGGAAAGGAAACAAAGCGAACTTCGAGAGCTACAAACTTGGAGTGGCAACCCTAAACTGGAGTAGAAAGGGGACGATTGGAGGGTTAAGCAAAGTGGAGAGGGGTTGCATAGGGGCGTTAAACTTAGAGCAAACAGCCCTTTGGCAAATTTTGATACTGGAAAGTTGTCAGGTTCGATAGATTTCTGTAAACTGGCAACAGTTGCCAAATTAAATTCAAAATTAATTAGCCAAAACAACTAGAAACTATGTATGCGGTTTAAGGCTATAAGAAGAGATAAGGCTATAAATATGGCTAAATATAGTCTTATTTGTGCTTATTCCAGTAGTTGACAGTTGGGAAGCATATAAGTACAATGATTAAAATATTGACATAATTTCTTAGTTCAGTATTTAAAAATGTTCTCAAACAAATAACAATAAATTTTAAAAATCTGTATAGAACAGTTAAAGCAAGAAAAGAAGCAGACCTCCTTAAATTCCTAAATAAAATATTAGTTATTTAATAAATAAACATATAGATTTCAACATATAAAACAATCAATTTTTGTCGGAAAAAACCAAGAGAATTATGTTAATCAGAATTAAGTTTAAACCTTGTAATTTGTTTATAAAATTCCAGTTTACTTGGTGAATTTGTATATTTTAATATATGACCTTTTGTTGGGTTTTGAATGTTGAAACTTTAATAAGCCCAAATGCCTATGCCTCTGTATCTATGGCTACTCCCTCTTTGAACCCTTTTGAACCTTTTTAACCCTCTTTTAACATTAATAAATAATAATAATGAATAATAAAAATATATAACTGACTATTGAATTCAAAATGTTATATTTAATATTTAAATTAAATATTAAATCATAGCTTTAAACTAAATTAAATGAAACTTTCAGTTATAAAATTGTCAAATGAAAAACAAAAACCGCAGTGGATAAAAATCAAAGCGAAAAATAATTAAATTGAGTACAAAATATTTGGATTTACTTGGTTTTTTTACCAGTGTGCCTTTAAACCCCCTTTTGAACCCCCCTTTGAACCCCCTTTGAACCACCTAAACAAAGATTCATTCAATCTGCCGGCTGCTGCATTTGCTGCAATTTCCCCATGGGCCGCCATGTCTGCGCTTTCTCTCCAACCCTTTCACCAGCCCCTCCCCCCTTTCACCACCCCTTTCGCCACCCCTTTCTCCTCTCGTTTCCACGCGCTTTTCACACCGCACCACGTAGCCAAACATTTGCAAATGAGCGTTGAAGCGTGGGACACAAACAGCCGCAGACGCCTCAGGTGAAAACCTCGCCTTTCCCCCGCCCTTCCCGCACTTCACCGCCTTCTTCACTCCCCAGGGAAAGAGAGGGTGGGGATGGGGGTGGGGGTGGGATGTCGGGAAATGCGTGCACAATTAGAGATAGTTGCGGCCATGGATGTGGCAGCTTTTCCAGGGCCAAAATTGAAATATTTAATTAAATTTGACAAAGTGCAGCCACTCCTTCCCATTCTTTTCCACCCACTTTTCCTTCTTAATTTTCAGTTTTCTTTTCTTGTTTGAACGTGAACTGAAAGTCTTCCAAAGAGTTTTTGAGGAAAAAAAGCTGCATAAAAAATTGGCAACAATTGTGTATGAGATATGTTACAAAAATGTTAGGCCAATGTTTAGTTAGAGATTCTATAAACTGTAAATATTGCAAAACAAATTTTTTTTAAGTAATTTGCCAATGTTTGCAGAAAAGAAATTCCAAAAATTCTAAAATACTGAAATTCAAAATAGCAAAGTGTTATTTCAATGCTTGCAGAAAAAAAAGAATCTAAAAAAATAGCAATTAAGAATATAACTATTTTGTGAATAAAACCAAAAACCAAAAAAAACTCTGAAAATCTCGAAGTTTCCGAAGTTCCTGAAGAATTTATCATCGCCAAGAAACTTTTTCTAACTAAATCAAAAAACTGATAAAAAATTCTTAAAATCTTAAATGTTCAGAAATTCTTTTAATTTGTGATATAGAATTTATAAGAGACAAGAAACGTTCAAAAAGGGATTAATCTTTGTCTTTTATGTAGATTTATTCGATCAAAATGCTTCATTTAAACATTAACTAATCTTATGTTTATTGAAAGTGGGTGTTTATAATGCCAACATTTTGGGCCATTTCACTTTTGGCTTCCCGTTCGACACTTTTCCCAATTTATTTCCACCCAAATAGAGGGGCCAATAATTTGGTCAATGACGTGCAATTATTTGCTAGCCAACTTTCGAGAGCCCTTAACCCCTGGTCAACCCCTAGCCCTCAACCCTTAACCCTTAAGCCCCTGCTTGTGGCATTTGCTCGCGTGGCACGTACAAAGTTTGTCTGTTTCTTGCGAATCGCCCGCCAAATGTGAGAAATGCTGGAAAATGGGGGGGAAATGGGGAAAAAGCGGGAAAAGTCGCGAATGATTCATGGCCGTTGCAATTTAGCTGCCAACTTGCGAAAAGTACCGGAAACGCATTCATTTTCCGCATTTTTCACATCAATAATGGACTGCGAAAAAGGGGTGCGGCGGTGACGAAGGGGGCGTGGTCGTAACTTGGACTTGGAAAACTGCAGTCCTAATTAAGTTTGCAACATTTATGACTTGTTAGCCAAAGACTTTCGACGGGCTAACTAGCCAAAGTTTATGACCGTCTTGCTGGGAATGGGAATGGGTTAAGTGTTAATTTAGTCTCAGGCACAATTTTATTACGTGGAAAACGAAGCTAATTTCTCTTCAATCTTGATTATTTATATAAATCCATATTAAATTCTACTGTTTAGGTTTATTGATTGCAATCCGCTGATTAAATGAGCCATGGTTTTGGTTTGAATTATTCGCAGGATTTGGGGAATTTCCCAAAAAAGAGGCAGGGAGCCAAGTAAGATCCCGTCCATTTCATTTCACGCTTCGTCTAACATCAAAATGGCCTCTGAAGAAACCGAAGGACGAATGCCAAGGATGAGCTCCTTGTTGTCCAGTTTTTACTACGATTTTTCGCCCAACCCCCAAGTTGCACTCGTCTGTGAAATGATGACAGTTGAGGTTTCATTTTTTCGCAGTCTGCTTAACGCTGTTTAAGTTCCTATGATTTATAAGGATTCAAAAATACCCTCTTTTGGAGTCACCTAAGAGTATAGTACTGAACACTTATATATCTTGCTTAAAGCCTTCAAATCTTTGAATTTTTGGTAAAGGCTATTCACCTTACCATATCAAGAAAGAAAAATAGCCCTTGAACGCAGAACTGAAAGTTCTCAAAAATAATATTTCTTATAACAAGAAAAATATAAAATAAAAGCAAGAAATCAATCACAAAAAAACAAAAAAAAAAGTTTTCATACATATTTAATTTCAACACTTAAAAATACTTATTTCATTATTATTAAGTTTATGAAAATGTATAAAGTTCACACATATATTTGTTGGCACATCTAAATATAATACACAAAAAATGACAAATTAGCAAGCTGTTAAATGAATACATTTTTTATTAAAGTTTTTGAAGATTTCCCAAAAAAAAAAAAACAGTAGCAGCAGCTACTTTTGGGTGGCAAATCGGTTTCCTTGACTCTTCGCCTTTTTCCGGCCATTTTTGTCACTTTCTCCGCCTTTATCTGGCACTTTTAGCCTTCCCTTTCCCTTTTTTTTGTCTTTGGTTCGGATTGGGATTGTGTTTCTCTCTATATTCCTCAGTTTCAGTTGCTATAGCTATAGCTTCAGTAGCTGCTGCTGTCCGATAAGCGCATACAATATGGTACGACGGCACTAAGAGAAACATGTGCTTAAAAATCTCTTCCACTCAAATTCCAACCGACAGTCACATTTCAGTGCCTCAGAAATAAAAAGGCTTTTTAATATACATTACAATTAACTTAAGTATAATTTATGATATTATACAAAGTAAAATTTAGGTTTTTTAAAAATATTATATTTAAATATTCTACGCATTTTGTTTTGTGTATTTAAATTATATTGTTTTTTTTCTGCTAGTACCTTTTTTTTACGGTGCACCAGTCTCCGTTAATATTCCTCCAAAAAGTTAATCATATCATATTAATTTTGCTTATGTGATTTTTTTTACAGTGCACCTGCGATGACCCCAGTCCCCCGGTCATATTTCAGGCTTGTGTTTATGCAGCTTAACACTTTGGGCCTCCGCTTCCGTAACCCGCAACCCGCTACCGCCACCCCCTTTCCACCAATTTGCACAGTTAAAAAGGGAATCCGTTAAGCGGCTTATGCCGAACGGCAGTCCGCCTCCGACTTTGCAAAGTTTATTAAACATAATTATATAATATCAAAAAAAAAAGAACGAGAGATGCAGCGAAGGACTAGGCCAGTCGGGTGAGCAAAGTGGCCATTAACAGGCTCGCGAGAATCCATCTGAGATGCACACTGATAAAAATGGAAGAGTAAATATAAGCATTTTGTATAATTTTATATTTATATATTTTAATTGATTTAATTTAATTAATTAATTTAGTTTTAGAATTGGTTTCTATTCGTTTTAAATGCATTAATTTGGTAAACATATAAATTAGTTTTTCAGCTATTTAAATCTATTTCGAAAATAGTCGAATGAAATATTTAAAAAAATGATTATAATAACCAAGAACCGCAAAATATAAGATATTTTGAAAACAGAATAAAAAATAAAAAAAAAAATATATAATATTTTAAATGGCTCAAACCGCAATGGATAAAAATCAAGGCGAAACATATTTAAATGGAATTTAATATGGTTTACATTTTAATACAATTTCTAGAAGTTTAAGATATTAGGAAAATAGTCAAATTAAATATTTGAGAAATTAATTTAATAATATTGAATAAAAACTTAATATTTAAAATAACTAAAAACAGCATTGGATGAAAATCAAAGTGAAAAATATTTAAGTTGAGCATTAGGTACATTTAAATTACATTTTCAGTTATTTAAATCTATTTCGAAAATAGTCAAATGAAATATTAAAAACAGTATAATATTTAAAATGACGAAAATCGCATTAATTGATTATTTTTCTTTACCAGTGCAGGGATGATCCGGATCCGGCCACGCCCACCAAGGGGGCCGCCCTGCGGTGCTGCTGCTTGGCCCTGTCGATGTGCGGCTGGCAGGAGGACTCCCGGCGCACGTACCGGAACATGGACTCCACAATGTTGCTCGGCGTGATGACCTCGCACTTCTCGAGCAGATTTACGGTGCAGGTCTCGAATTCGTAGAGGTCGACACACTGCTTGGGACCCAGGACCAACTGCGGCAGATTCCACTCCGGACTGAACTCCTTGGGCAGATAGCTGGCAAAGGAGGCGTTCAGACAGTTGGCGATGCCATCGCGACTGTCCGTCAGGCACTCGGGTCCCTTTTCCGCTATGAAGAGGGCAATCTGATCGCCGTTCTTGTAGCATATGAACTCCAGCAACTTGTCCGCAATCCGCTGCAGCACTCCATTGTGCCGCTTCTCGTCGGCGGTCAGACAGGGCAGGATGGCGTCGTTGAAGTCCTTCAGGCAGCCCTTCGCCTGCGGCATCCGCAGGCAATACTTCTCGAACACCACGTCCAGGTCGCCCTTGGGCGTGGCCTCGGCGATCTCCGCCTGGATTTCGGTGACATTGGCCAGCCCGGACAGGCACTCGAAGAGTTTGATGGTCGACTGCTCAATCGTTTTGCTCAGCGCCGTGGCATTTACGGAGCCAGGCGGCAAATGGTCGTTGGCCTTCTGGCACTTCGATTGCAACAGCTTCTGCAAGTCGTCCACGGTGAGGTTGGTGTTCTGCAGACCCGGCGGCAGATAGTTCGACCTCAACTGGTCCACATCCACGTTCTCGAGGAGCGAGGGATCCAGGGATCCGGGCAAATCCATGGATCCACTAACGGCGCACACCGCCGCCGCCGCCAGTAGTGAAAACAGCCGCAAAACCGACCAGCTCGACATTCTCGCCATGACTGGCTGGAAAATGCAGAGAGCTGGGACTCGTGTCTCTGGCCTTTCTTATCGTTTATGGGCATGGGTATGGGTATGGGTATTATCATTATCCCCCGACTGAGTGAGGGGTCGGTAGGGGTCAATGTCTGAGATTACGGCGGCCCACAAAGACAATCGTTTGCCCATTTCGTGTTTTGATTATCACGCGGGTTAAACAACCAACTAAACAGTATTCCGGATTAGCCATCTGCCCAAAAAGACACTTCATGAAAAATTGCTTTGAAAAAAAATGATCAAATATATTTAATCCTTTTATTTATCTAATTTTTTTTTATGTTTTAGGGATTTTTTAATAAATTATTGTTATAAATAAATATACAAATTATGTAAGAGACCGTAAACAAATTAGTGTTTTCATAAACAACTAACTGAACAGTAATCCTCAGCACGCATCTGCTCGAAAAACATTTCATGAAAAATTTTAAAATTGTTAATTTTTTAAATCTTTAATTAAATTAGTACTATACATAAAATACAAAGCTCCAAAATAACTTATTTAATTAATTATCTAAGAAAGACCGTAAGCGATTTAGTGTTTTGATAATGAGGTAAGCTAAACAACTAAACAGTAATTGCGTATTATTAATTCAAAAGACACTCCATGAAAAATGTTCAAAACAGCTTATAATAAAAAAATTGATTCTTTTTAAATATGTATTGTAATTATCTATACAAAAATCCCCAAGTTTGAAATAGTTAGATGTTTACGAACGGGAGACCTAAAGGTCTCTCGTTTACACGAGCAAATTAACCTTTAAACCCATTGATTATCACTATAACGTTTTAAATACACAGAACCACAAAATCAAACTTTGAGTATTGGTCCCATAAAAACTTTATTTCTATAATTCTCAAATTCCACAAGATTAAAAATTATGTCAAATTTTTAATTAAGTGGCCCATTTATTTGAAGTCAACCTAACGTTTTTTTATTGTTCTATTGTCAAAGTTGTAATCTGAGAGTTCTTATATTAGTTAAAGCTGACTGTTTTTAGTATTAGATACTACTAGTGATTAGATACTCAATTTTATGTCGAGTGTATGTTTCGTTAAGAGGGCTGAAAATGTGTGACCCTATAATTGTTCGATAATCAAAGTCTAGGGGGCAGTCTGGATGAAATCGGTTTGATTAGAAACCACCGTTCTATTTAAGGCAGTGACTACACAGAACAAAAAACTTGCCAATATCAATTTGATATTTACAGATCAAAAATCATTTTTACTATTGAATAATGAAAACTGATATACAAAATTGGTAATTTTTCGTTTTCTCTCTCTATTTGAACATATCACATCGATTATCATTTGTTATACATATTTTTCTGTGTACTGAAAGCACTTATACACATATTATGTGCATACATATGTGTATATATATATATGTATATGCAGTTGATAAGCCAGCTGCTGGCATTTGAGTTAGGCAATCTCAATTGGGTTTTTGATAATTACTTGAAAGCTTAGGGAAATGATGGGAATGTAATCAAGCGAAAACATTGACAAGTGGGAATTAGTTTGGGCTGTTATGAAGGGAGTTGTTATACGTCTGAGAGGAGATTAGTTAGTGGCACAGGAATTATAACTCTACCCTACTTTTACTTCAACACGGAAGTGCGTGAGATTGATAATATAACTACTACTGTAGCTATACTGTACTATAAACAAGGTTTTAGTAATCTGACAATCGGTTGCGAAGTGATAAGCCCCGTCGATTTGGATCCCGACCGACAGCTAATCGTCAACTCGTGCTCTGTAAACCATAAACCGAATCAGATGGGAATTAAAATTATTTTATATGGTTTGCTGCCTTTTAAATTGCTTCTTTCAAACTTCTTTATGGCTGCAGCTGCTGACCAAATAATCAAACAGAAATATAACATTTCACCTGACCAAAGCAAGGAGTTAAGCTTGGGTTTGAGGTAATGGGACATTAAATACCCTGGATAAGGTGAAATTTTAAATGTTCGTTGTTTGGCTTATTTATATACATAATTATACACACTAAATAAAATGAACCCAAAAACAAGAAATTTGTTCGGTTTTGTTCTTTAATAGCAACGCACCATAAATCCTGGAGTATATTTTTCTAAAATAAATGGCTTTGCCCGCGAAAAAATAAGGAAATCTTTTCTAAAATGTTGAAATAATGTGCTTACCATACATTTAATGGCCAATTCTATAATTAATATTTAAGAAAAGATTTCTTTGTTCAAGAAAAAATATTTCTATATTTATATATCATTCATATATTTTTTAGGGTTATGCTAAGAATTTTTGAAAAGGACTTTCTATATTATGGAAAATATTTATATATTTAAGGGTAAGTCTTCCTATTATTAAGGAAGTTTAAGTTAACAGTTTCTAAAAACAATGGCAAATTCTACAGAAATATCGATTTTTACGACAATTGCTTCAACAAAAATTCCTTAATTTAAGAAATATCATTTGAAAAAACTATTTTTTTTTGGATTTAGAAAATTGTATGTCTTATTTTGTTTCATATAAAATGCACTTATTTTTAGATATCTATTAAGTCCAGTGTACCCCTAAGTTGCGGGGTAGTGCAATATCAACACTTGCAGCCAAAAAAATACCGACAGCATCTGAAAACAAGAGGAGCGAGCAAGAAAGTAACAATTTATCTTCGTTTGTTGCGGAAGTTGCAAGTGCAATAAACAAGTTCGGAAAAGGGGGCGGCTAGCGAGAGGGGGCGTGTCGTCGAGCATAGGGTGCCTGGCACTGCAGATTTTCTGTTAAAAATAATACCGAAAATTGCAGCTAACGGGGGAAAGTGAGCAGAAAATAAAAAAGAGCATGGGAATTCAGTGCAAATTGAAATGAAGCGCGTGGCAGGGATTCCTGAAAAATGAGCACAATTAATTGCTACCCTCTACACTTTATGGGCGTGACAGTGGGTATCACTTAAGCGGGCGGCGGTGGGCGCTTGAGGGGCGTGGCACCATTAGTCGGCTGCAATTAGCTGGCATTTCTGCATTTGTAAAAGGTTTGTTATTTCAATGCAACAACAACAACAATTTTTCCAGTGTATTAGTATTAAGTTATATATCATTAGGTAGAATAAAGTTCTTCACCAAAAATAAATGTAATACTTACAGGAATTTGATTATTGGTAAATGTCAATAATATACAAATATTTCCAAGAACACATGTTGCATCTTTTGTACATATTTGGACAGATAGTTAGGGAAATTTTCGAAAAGTGGGCCAAAAAGTGAGGGAAAAGCTGCAGCAGATGTTTGGCGACCAGCTAATTGCAACTGCCAATAGTTCGAGGGGTCAAAGGGTCAAAGGGCATGGGGTGCGGATCAAACGGAGGCCATTTGCCAATTGCTTTGCCAACGTTTCCGTTTCCGCTTTGCCGTTCACTCATGTGTGTGCGATACGTTTAGCCAACGATAATTAGCACAAGGATGTTAATGATGATATAATATTGCAGTGCACGCAAACAGAAACAGATGCAATATACATATTGTTGTTTCATCTACTATAGTGCATAAATGCAGCCATGTGTGTGCTCCCTTTAATGCAAATAATTCATTTCACAATCATGCCTTGCCAGCGCAGCAAAACCAGCTCTGTCTATGCGAATCCCTGGCAAACGGAAGTATGAGTATGAGTGTGATTCAAGATTCAAGTAGAGGTCTTTCCAGGACTAAATTTATCATTTTTTAACCTAAAAAATTTTTTATTAATCAAATCGGATTTTTGCTTAAAAAAAAAATTTCCCCTTACATTACAATAACATTTTTTGTGTGCGCTAGGATGTTGAATGGCAATCGAATTTGTGTTAGATTCATTAAAAAGGGATTTATTTATTAAATTGCTAACTTAAGCTAAGAACTTAAACATATTCTTCTCTGTTTTTCTTACTTTATCATTAAAACCCTAAATATTTTAAGTTGACAATTTCAAAGCAGATGATTCAGACTGGCTTTCTGTTGAAAAATGCATGTCTAAAAATATTGAACAAACATTTTTCAACTTTTAAAACCAGTAAATGCCACTTAACAGCTGATAATTCGGTGAAGTTATTTAGTTGTGCAGCCAACCGCTTGTGCAAATTTTAACCCTCCCACGCCTTCGTTTAACCCCCTGTTGTTCGGCTGCCAGGAGCACAATTAAATTGAGTGCAAACCGCAAATACAAACGAGGAATGCAGCGAATTTTCGGTTTATCGGCTAGAAGTCAGAATTTTTGGGCCTTGGCAGGAAGGCTATTATATCAAGCACCCCCATTTCACCACTTTCTGTAAAAGTGCTCCACAGGAGGCCAAAACAAAACAATGGCGAAAGAAATGCAATAACTAAAACAAACCGCACCCGAAACTTTTGTCAGGCGCAGCGCCCCAAAAAAAGCAACAGAACATAATGACACTTGGACTGTACAGCAAACGAATTCCCACAAAATGGGAATGGAAACTTTTGGGGCTGCAATTCAACGATTGACCAGTGTGCGTGACAACTCCTTATATTAAATATATATAAGAGAACAGCGCAATAAAATTCGCATTGAAGTGGTACATTTAAAAATAATTAAGCATTTAATACATACATTTAATACATACATAAACTACATAGGTTAAACAAAAATCTTGGAATATGTTTTCAAAGTACTGGTCTTACTTGCATATAAGAAGGGTTGTTTTAAAACATACCTAATATTTGTACACACTTTAATTTTCTACCCTTTGTAAAATGTTTATGTTTGTAAAATGCAATAAATAAATAAATTGTTAACCAACAAAAAATTAATGTGTTTTGCAATAAAAAAAACATAATAATAGTATTAAATTCAATATTTTGTTAATTTTGTTATTCACAATAAGCCATATGATATTGATCTAGATTAAAAGCAAACAAAATATACAATAATACAAAAAAAAACATGAAACAAATAAAAGTTGGCAAATTTGTAATTAATTTTATAATAGTAATATTATATTGTATATTAATTGCAATCAAAAGAACAAAAAATTAAACTTTTTTGCAAGTAACAAAAAAAACTATTAAATTTCAGTGTTTAATAACTTAATCGTCGATTTTAATTTCACAACTCATAAACCAACCGATATTGACCTAGATTAAAAACATATGTATAATATATAAAAATAAAAAAAAAACAAGAAACAAAAAGATTTTAGGAAAATGTTCGAGTTTTTTTTTACTGTCGCGTTTCAAAGTCCAAAACATATTATGTATAAACCAACCGATATTGATGTAGACTAAAAAGATATAGATAATATATAATAAAACAAAAAGATTTTAAGAAATTGTTCAAATTTCTTTTCTCTGTCGCATTTAAAATCCAAAACATATTATATGTGAAGGGATCAAGTTCTTTATCTTTAGAACCGAATAATACCGTACTTCTGAAGGATAAATCGCTTAGCCTTTAAGCATAAATCAATGAATAATGATAAAAAAAGGAAAACAGAGCTGGAGAGGGTATCCTTTTTAGTCCTTTTGTTGGTAATGCGCGTTGGTTGACTAGCGCTAAGATAAAGTCAAATTATTCTGGCTTTGTTTGCTTGTGTGTGTTTGTGTTTGTTTGTTTTTCCTTTCTGGTTTGTTTGTACGCTTTTCGCCGGGTTCTTGGCTTGGGTCTCTGAATTGGTAAAGAGAAACTCTTTCTTTTTCGCACGCACACTTCACTCCAGTTCAGTTCACTTCACTTTTTCCCACATCCACATCCTTTCAAACACTCGAAGATTGACTGACAGTCGTTGTGTTATTCTTGTTGCCACTGATATCCTGCCACAGGAGTTGGCAAAAGAAAAGCGTATGGGGTATGGGGTATATTCGAACACACCCGTCGCGTGTGTCGATGATTTTTTTTTTTGCCCAACTTTTCACTTTGATTCCTTTTGAATTTCCGTAGGTCCGCACAGCAGGCGCTTTTCCCCAAATCCCGAATCCCTTTTCCCCCGTTGCGGAATTCAATGAATTTGAAGAATATTTCCCAGCGTCTTTGACAAACAAAAAGGGGCGTGACAGTGCGGAGGGGGAGGAGTGGGGCAGGGGTGACGCTCACACAAAGTTTGCATTGCAAATCCAAAACCAAGCCAATGCTTTTCATTACTTTTTTAATACCCTATATACTTGAAAACTATGCTTGATTTATATAGACTTTAATGCCTAATTAGAAATTATGGACCCATTGATCTCATGGATTTATGATTTGACATACATCGCTAATGATCATGATTTTTGTTGCACATTTCCAAATAAATACCTAACAAGAATGGAAAAAAATTGTAAAGAAAATCAAATCCATCAAATTTAACTCGATTGGACTTTAATGCTACGAAGCTATGAAGCCATAGTTATACCTCTTATAAAAACAAAATTTATTTATTTGATATTTAAAATTAGGTATTAATTTTTCTCTTGGTTTTTAATCATTATGATTTTTATATCACAATGTTGTAATTTATACCAAACACGAATGAAAATTAGTATAAACAAAACCAAAGAAAAAACATAAAATTCTCAGCCCTTTGGATCCTTTTAATTGTATTCGATCGCACTTGCATAATACATCGTTATGAAGAGAATGGTAAACAATTAAATTCAAATGCATAATACTAAAAAAACAAGGCTACAAAAATTGCCATACATTTTAAAAAATTAAATACAGGGTATCTACAATTCGTACCCCCATTTAAGGGTTTCTCTTTTTTTTTTCTCCGCACGTGGTCGCTAAAATTGCATGGCAAAAGGAAGAAGAGTGAGAAAGAGGGAAAGAGAGGGTGGAAGTAGAAGAGTGGGATGAAATCGAGGGCGGTGCAAAGGTAGACTCACATGTTTGCCCATGTAAATCGAGCAGGCCTTCCGCTCGCACCCACTATGCCATCTGTCGCACCATCCCTTTTTCACTTGTGGGAGTTTATTAACGTTTGGTTTTCGGGAAAGGGGCGGGGGCCGCCCACCAATATTTTCGACTCGATGACGGCAAACATTTACATTTTGCATTCAGCTTGTTGTCATCGTTCACTCGATTCCGTTATGCGGCTTAGGTAACGGGATTTGAGAGTCCTGCTCCTTGATATCCATCCCACCCCCCTCTGATCACATTTTTTATCCTTGTAATACGGCTTTCTATAAGTCCAATGTCAGCTTAAAGGTCTTATTCCGCTTCTAATAGCATTTAAAAATGTAAGGCGTACACTCAAAAAAAACTAAAAGTTTAGTTTTAATATATGTGTCTTGAAAACAAACTACAGACAGTTTTAAAGTTAGAGTAATAAATATTTAAGCCACATATGTTTTAATTTGATACTTTCGCGGTATTAATTTAATGCTCATCTTATTAAGAAATTTGTCATCATTCACGTAAGCATAGTTTAGTTTCTATGATCATTTTTTTTTGGGTGAACTTATAAATGTCCATTTCGCACAGCATAGAGTTTGTATTTTAATTCTAGATTTATAAGGCTTAGTACTCACCTCATTTTAATTGACACACTTTAATTTCCCGATTTTTATTTTACAATTTTATTTTTAGAGTTGGAATAAGAAGGTTTATTCGGTAATTATGATCTTGAAGTAGATTTACTTTAAACAGATAAATAGATTTACTTTAACACACTTTCTCCGCTAAAATTTGAACATAACATTTTACAATTCCGTTCATTTGTTTCTATACTTTCATACTTACAACAGTTTGTACGCCACAGTTTAATTATCGTATAAGTAGCTATGTATTTTGAATTCCACTCAGAGCAATATTGTTCAAATATTTTAGCTATATTTCCATAGTCTTGGATGATCTTGCGATGCAATTGTCAAACATGGCAGCAATTATAGACAGCTCAATTAGTTGGTTTATAATTAAAAATTTGTATATGCATACATACATACATATGTATGTAGTTGTATACACCTGAAATCTTAAGCTGTAAGCTTTCATTGAATAGATAACAGAAAATGTCTGCTTTACCCTCTATTTCTCTCTTTTGATCTGATAAAGCTTTCTCTCTATTGATTGACAAATTACCATAAGCTCTGATTTCGGATTTGGCAATACTTTAAAACAGGAATTCGATGGGCTATGGCTATGAATGGCTATAAATATTAAAAGTAAATGAAATCAAAATTACAATTTTAATCACAAACGTTTTCAAAACAAACTACGGATCGTTTTAGAGATCCACTAATGCAAAACATTTTATCAGAAACATACAATGGGAAATCGAAGTTTAAGTACACTGTGCACTAAAATTTCATATAAAATGCTCGTAAACTTTTTTTACCTACTGTATGTAAATATAAAATGCTGGTAAATTTTTTTTACCCACTGTATGCTGCTAATATAAAGAAATATGATATTTATAAAAATATAAAACAGTTAAAAGCACCTGTGATGATTCCAGTTTTAACAATTAGCTTAATTAAACCAGAAATGGCTTTTCGATGAAGCCAAAATGCCGCTTATTCATCTTAATCGCATTATTATGTTCAGGTCACGCTCTGGCCCAATTATCATTTCATTATCGCCATAAACAAAGCCACAATCATCCCATTAAATTCCACTGTCTTCCTCAATCCACTTTTTCATCGCGTTTTTAATTAGACACAAATGTTTCTTGATAACACACCGGATTCATTTTCCGTAAGCTGTTGTTTTTTTGCATCTGTTGATGGGAATGCACCTGCCGCCGGCATTCCTCGCGAATCCCTTGTTGCAGTAACATCCATCGGGGCATCGAATATGGTTAATCAGGCACGGTTTGCCCAACGTGGAGCACTCCGTTTGGCAACTGGGTCCACAGGGCAGAAAAGTCTCGTTTTCAGGGCATTCTCGGGGCGCTATGGATCAAAAACTATAGTAGTTGAAAAGGGGGGAGAGTATAGAAGAGTGTGTGTGCCAAAACTTACTGATGGGAACCTGCGCTGTGACCATGAAAACCAGGCAGCAGCAACTCAGCAGCAACACATAATTCCGGTGGAGCAACATCATCGAATGGCAATGGCAAACTAAACTGATGAGCTTGCTGCCAGCGGGTTTTTATACCCAAGACGGATTGGGAACTGGGAATGTAATCTTTGGTCTATTAATATGTCAATAGATATCAGGAACTAAGGAGTTGGTAGCACTACAATTTTGTTTACCAACAACTTTGCTGGTTATTCGATTGGAAGTGCTATATATGTAGGTTACATTAAAGGTACAACAACAAATGTCATAATTAATATTTTAACACGTCAACAACTAAAGTTAAATTAAAATTGTTAAGTAAAACTTTCCTATTCCAAAATCCCTATTAATCTAACTATTTTTATTTAGTTTAAAAAAAACACACCTATTATCCCCATTTTAACTATTTTCAATTAGTGTAAAAATACACTTATCCCTACTTTAATTTAAAAGTTTTCATAATTTACTTTTTTTATGTCACATATACTGATAAAAAAAAAGGTGGAGTAGATAATATAAATAAATGGCATTCAATAGCCAAAACTTTATATTTCAAATTTAAATTAAATACAAAATTATATCAAATAGAATGCATACTTAAGCATAGTAAGGTGAAGTAAGATTTGTTTTAAATTAAATTTCAATTTTCAAATAGAAACATTTTTTTTTCAAAAAAAGTCAAAGTTTTAAAAGTCAATATTTTAAATAACTGCAGTAGATTAGAATCAAAGCTTAAAATATATAAAAATGGCGTATTGAATACTTAGTCATACAAGGATTTCTTTTACCAGTAAAGTTGATTGAATTATAAAATTCGACACAAGATAAATTCTGAAGAAAGGGCATTCCCTAGTCGACATGGCCAATGAATAAGATTATTGAGGGGATCCACTACCTCTAGTAATTCCCTATTTTTTTTTGGGGTAACCACACAGCTTGTTTACGAAAATACGCTTGTGCTTTATTTGATACAACTTGTGGAGAACTACTACGAAAAACTTTGAAATGTAAAGGTTGCCAGGAGGGACGTCCAGGAGCATCATCGGGGGGAGCTACTGCGCCGGCGTCGCTTGTGCCGCTTGTGGCTCTTCTTGGTGGGTGGTGTGCGACGCCTCTGCTGCTGACGCTCTCTGCTATGCGATCTGCTCCGCCGGTTTGTCCGCGATATGCTTCTGCTTCTGCTCCTGCTTCTGCTCCTGCTGTGCCGCATGCTCCTCGAGCGGCTTCTACTCATGCTTCGCCTGCGCTTTTTGGGGCTCTTTCTGCGCTGCAACTGCTGATGGTGCTGCTGCGATTTCCTAGCCAGGATCGATGATGATGATGGTTTGGTGGTGCTGCTTTTTTGCCGCCTACGGTGGGAGGATTCTCGGCTGGAAGCGCTGCTGGCACTACTCCTCTCATTCCGGCTGCGACTCCTGCTTCGGCGGTGAGTTTTGCGGTGGCGCGAGCTGGACGTTCGCGAGGAGGAGGTTGTGGCCACCAGCTGGACGTCGTCGTCGTCGGAGAGCAGAACGGCAGCAGGAGTCGGAGTAGGAGGAGGAGGAGGAGCCGCTGGAGGCAGCACGGGCTTGCTGGTAAACGTGTTCGTGCTGTCATCATTCAAGAGATTGTACTTCTCCAGATCGCCATCGCCATCCTCATCATCCTCATCATCGTCGTCCTCCTCCTCCGCTTCGACCTCCTGCTTCTCCCCATCGAGTCTCACCTCTGGCTTTTGGTTCTGCTCGTCATCGTCGTCTTCGGGTCCAAAGTAGGTAATGGGTATGGAGCGCACAGATTCGTTGGACTCATTGTCACTATCGCCGGCCGTCGACTGGGAAGCTCCTGCCGCTGGCTCCGGAGGATTCGGAGCAGCGCCCGGTAACGCTGAGCCCACGGTGGCACACTCACCTTGTATAAATTAAATGAATTAATGACAACATAACAAAAAGTATATGATAGGAGGGCCCACCTTTTATCTGATTTAGAAAGGCCATGGCCTTACGCTTTCGCTCTAGCTGCAATTGTTTCTCCCGTGAAATCATCCCGTTCAGCTTCTCGCGTGCAATCTGCGCCAGCTTGTCCTTCACGCGCTCCTCAGCTACAAGATAAGCAACGGAATTATTAACACAAAGCTAAATGAACGTTTAGAGATATAGGTTACCTTGGCGCTGCTCCTTCTGCGGCGAGGAAGAGGAGGAGGAGGAGCTGCCGCCTGCCTTCTGGCCGGCAGTCCTGGCTAACAGCTGCGTCTCCACCTGCTTGATGGCCCGCTGCACACTGTCCGGCATGCCCGGACGCACCTGATCCGCCCCGAGCTGTCCGCCAATCGAACTGGCTTCCTCGTCGCTGGCCTCCTGCGGAAGAGTGGGTTGCAATGGACCATGCTCATCCCGAGCGCGAATGGAGAAACTTACAGGAGCTACAACGGAAAGCGTGAATTATTGTACATATGTGTGAATTAAGCAGTGAAAAACTTGTCGGACACCCACCCTTATCGAGATTGTGGCCAGCCGCTGCGGCTGCCGCTCCGCCGAAACTAAGACCCTTCTTGGACATCAAGGCGGCAGCCACGGCGGCCGCTTTGCGGGTCTTCTCTTCCTTGGAGGCCGCATCCACATCGCCCGTCACCTTGTACAGGTAGTAGGCATAGAACTCGTTGGCCGGCAGCAGAAAACTGAAGCGTTCCACGCTCTTCGTGCGCAGCGTCTCCTCGAACTGGCGACCATTCTTGATCACATACGTGGCCGTCTTGTCGATTATGTGCCGCAGACTCTCCGCCGGAACGGGAAATGTCAGCACTGGCTCTGGTTTCTATGGAAAATATGTATGAAATCAATTTATGAACTAGATCTATGTACTTTTGAGCTGCAGGAAAAAATCAAAACTGTGGAACAAAGAATGCTGATCACAATCCCAATCTGAAGTTGTTAAATTAAGGAAATACAAAAATCACCAATGGAGCTCAATGCCCAAAGCTCCTTTAACAATGCCATGAGTATACTCGGCAATCATCTTCTAAAGATAATACATATTTAGCATGTTTACATGATTAAATCAAAGAACTTTCTTTCGAGATTCCTCCCTACATAGTTGGTCCTTTGAGCCGGATCTGTGATCAGTTAACTACCATAACCGAAATGTGATTTTGGGATTGCGACTGTAATCAGCTACTTACAAGCTCCTTCTCCGGCTGCACTGGCTGCTCTTCCTGCTCCTCCTCCTCACTCTCGGAGCTGTAGTTTTGGGCCAAGGCCAGAGCACTCGTGTTCTTGAGCAGCTCCACCTGCGGCGGCTTGCCCCCGTTCGCATCCGGCTGTTGCTGCTCCCTAGTCTGTTCCGTTGCCTCCTCCTCGTGGGTGAACGTACTCCCGTTGTACTGGAGCAGCACGGGCGTAAATTCGCCGCCACCCTGACTGTTGTGACCTTCGGATCGGCAGCTGGGCGTGGGCGAGGCGGTGTCGCCCGAGTGTTGTGAATTTCCCTCAGGATTACTGGACTCATCTTCCAGGAGGACTGCTTGCAGGGGTACGCCCTTGATCTTGCTGATCAGCTGGGTGTAGGCGCAGTTAGCGGAGGGTTTGTACTTGATAGTTGGCACCGTGATGACCACTTGGTTGGCGTTCCTCCTTCCATCCGCGCCGCCATCCGCGCTGTGTAAGTTGTCGGTTGATTGCGATTCCTGGTCGGGATTCTGCTGATCCAGCGGAGTTTCCGGAGCGGGTGGGAACTTTGCCGCCTTGATTGCGGCCAAAAGGTGACGATAGTAGGGCTGTAAATGGCCGCCCTGGGTGAGAAAGTCAAACTGGTTGTTGTTTGCCTGCTTGGCCTTGATCAGGATCTCCATCTGAGCGCCCTGGGTGGCGATAAAGCGAGCCGTCTTCTCGATGATAGCGTGCTGCTTCATAGTATCCGGCTGAAATTTAGTTTTAATTTAAAATAAAATAAATCAATTTCTCTTAGCTTAAACTACATGTAAGATTATCAAATAAAGTGGAAAATATGTTACACAAAAACTACATTTTTGAACTAGAACATACAGAAGTTGTCAACAAAGTTGTTGTTCAAGCCAAAAGTTTAGGACCAAATCTCTTTAGTGGGAATTGTGTTTAAATTAAAGAACGAAGCAAAAAACTGGGTAAAAAATTTGACTTTATACATCTAATTTATTTATCAAATTGCGCTCATATTTGCAAGCATTTTAAGATAGGTATTCGGTTAGTTAAGTATTTAACCATTTTTACCATGTTAGACTGATCAATTAAGCATCATACATGTAGTTTAGAAGAAGGTGTGGGACTTACCAGCTGCATGCCCAGTGGAGGAGCCATCATCAGGGTATAGGGCAGGACGAAGGGCAGCTCGCTATCCTCGGAGGTCGGCGAGAGCTGGGAGGGCGCCGTGGAGGAACCGCTGAGGGCAGCCGCTGACTGGCCATCGTACTGGAAGCCCACCTGGCTGTAGTTGCCGCCGGAGGTCTCCTGCTGCAGCCGCTTGAGGTCCTCCTCTGCAGAGTCCGAGCATTGGGCCAAAATAAATGGAGAGAACACAGAAAACAATGGGAATTTAGCATGGAGTGAGAGTAAATGCAATAGCTAATCAGAGCGAGAGAAACGTATTCGAGCTGATGCGAACGAACGAGATATACAGAGAGAAGAGAGAGAGAGAGAGAGGGAGGGGGGTGGCTAGACAATGACATTTAGTTTCACTGGGGGATTCCCCGCGGGCTCCTCGATCTCTGGACTTCGGCCCACAGCAAACTGGTGGCTTCAGCTTATTTTTAATCTGAAAGAAAGGTTTTATCTGTCAGGTATTGAGGATTTGGTATTTACCTGCTCCGAAAAGGGACTCTCTCTGGAAATATCGATGGGAATGTCGGTGGTTTCTTTATCGGTGGTTGATTTTTTTTTAATATTGGTATTGATTTGATTCAATTTGGTTACGATTTGCGTTTGGGTTTGATCGTTTCTTGATACTTGCAGTACTTGTAATACAATTCACAATTTGAGGAGTTCGGGATAATGGGGTGTCGACATCGTTACGATAGATATGTAAACGTTAGCAAACTGGATTCACGCAACATACTAAATTAT